GAGTCGAAATCTAGATCGTGAGCTAAAATTCGAAGAAATTTCGCGCAAACAAATTTTCTGGCCAACTGTGTCAAACAATCGTTTAGCAATCTACATTGAGAGATTGACTGTTTCGGCATGTTCAATTAATAAAAATTTTGTTAGCAATGTGATTGCCGAGAATCCAACAGTCCGTATCGAGGGTGAATCCTTACATTTTCATATAGATGCACGATTACCGAAACGTCGGGGGCTTCGTCGTCTATGCTTTTTACATACTGACTCGAGGATATTTCTCTCAAGGATCCAAATCTTTTTCTACTACCGGACCCATTCGGCCTCGTGATGGCTTTCTCTTTGATCTCTCTTATTCTTTGCTCGCGATATTTTTTTATCACTTGCTTCTCTTCTTCATCTGAACTAATATTTTCTAAATCTTTCAGCAATTCCTCTTCCTGAGCCTTTATCATTTCGTCTTCGCGAAATGTTGTCGTCATTAAAGCTTTCGATAGCATGCGTTCATTGTATGCGGCTATCGAAGCCGCTCTTTGTTGTTGAACCTGCTGTTTGTGATATGCGTGATCTGCCAGGACACCTTTTGGGCCTGTTTGTCGCCCGCCATGCAACAGACTCTCCGGCACTTTCTCCTGTGAGGCTGACTGAATACACGAATTTAGAACACGTCATTTTGTATGAGGTTCCATCAGGTGAAAAAAAAAAGAAAGAGTTCAGTTTGAGCTCTGATGTGTACAATTTAAAATTGCAAATCGCAAATTACTTTAGAGGAACTTTCTTCTGTGTCAGAAAGATCGGAAGCATTTGGCGACCTTTCCGCCTCGTCCTCCTCCAAAGAAGACTTTAGTAAACTTTCAACTAATGGATCCATTTTACCAAGTTCAAGTTTACCATCTCCATTCTTTCGTGTGAAACCCAAAACAATTACCTTATCTTGATATCACGTGCAAATATAATTTACGTATTAGGTGCAGTGTACACACACGTAAGCGGATATAAGAAACGAACGAAGTAGATTCTCATGCCTCAACATGTTGTCGGTTAACAACCAGCGACGTCCATTGGTTGACACAAACGTAACTCCAAGTGTGGGAATAACGCGACCCTCGACCGAACAGGATTCCCCTGCTTCCAACAGCAACAGTCTGTCGGCATCGCCAACCCTCACTGGTTATGGGACTCACAACGGTCCTTACTCTACACTTGAAGCCCGTTCGTGTTCATCCTCTGCGTCTAGTGTACTTTCCTTAGGTGGCCTCTCGATAACTGATATTCAGTCGGAGCAAAAATCGTCGCACTCGAGTTCTTTTCAGCAAGACACAACCGATGCGAGCCTAACGCCGACATCGGTCGACAGCCCTACTAATGCCGCTGCGTCTTCTTTAACTCGTAGAGTTCATATTGCCGGACATGCACACGATCGAAGCAGATCTGCATCGATAGACGGGGAAATTGAACATTCTGCTTGGTCCCTCGAAAAAGTACTGCAATGGCTTGAGGATAATGCGTTTGCTGGCTTTAAACAAATATTTATAGGTAGTGTTCCAGGAGGGCATCCTTGTCCCAACCATTTGGAAAACTGTCAGTATGTGGGCCATTTATGAGAGGAAACATTTGATACTTATACATTCATTTTCCTCTTTTTTTTTTTTCTTTCTTTTTTTTTTTGTCCTCTTTTATTTTTTTCCTTTAAACTTACGCTATAGAAAATAACATATACGGAGAAGAATTTTTTGCTCTT